CTGTAAAAAACTGAGTTTTTTTTGCGTTTTTTCAATATTTTTGGGATATCTCGAGAAGGAAAGCATATTTTTTGAAAAGAAAAAAAACGAACCTGAGATAGAGCCTAAAGTATCTGTGGTAAAATTTTGAGCTCGATCGGACCATTTTTTCGAGGGGTCGTAATGTGACTGGATGAAAACCAGAGTTTTCTAGAAAATCCATAGAAGAACATGTCACAAAATTCTGTGCAAACATACATCGATTTTCTTTTTCGATGTTCTATCTCTGCTATAAATCTCACCCCGATCCGGCATCGGCGTCCCCGGTTCCCAAGAGGGTCAAAAAAGAGGGGGTACCCTTAAATCGCTTTCTTGATCCTTAGTGTTATTATCGTTGAGAAGAACTTCAATATAACTGTTATTGAATAATTTTTGAGATTTACTGCACATATGATTAGACCAGGTAGCTCAACTGACTGATGAAGTGCACATAAATTTGGCAAACCGATATGAATGAACTCTATTCTAAGTCGAGTCATGTGCTTTTCTTCTCAATATTTTTCTATTAAAGGTTACATAGTCTGAAAAAAATGCATATGATTCATAAGAATAAGTAAGTAACAACATACACGTTTATAAATCAAATGTGATTTACAAATATAGAATATTTTTGCGAACACTTATTTTTTTCGATCCTTGTCAATATCATGTGTGTTTTTTGTTCTCTTCCATCGATCACAGCAGAATATTAGGGTTAAAAAGAAAAATGAGAAAAATTGTACGACGATATAACAAGACTATTCTTATCGACCAATTTAACTTGAAATATTTGCTTGCAAAAACAAACGTATCATTTATGCCAGATTTAACATACCAAAATATACTCATTAGTGTCATTATTGTAAACTGAATAGATCAGACTGGGTTTATTAGAATCGTTTCTCTTCAAGATCAAAAAATGCTTTATCCTTTACTATCAAAATCTCAAAATAAAAAACTGAGTATTTGATAACAAAACATGATAAGAGAAGTAGTTTTTATAACTCATATTTGACTAACGTCGAAAACTCGCACTGACTTTTTTTCGTAACTTTTTGATATAGTTTTTATTCAACTACTTTGGCAGAAGATACATGTAGAAAAGACTGAATAATTATGTTTCAAAAACTATTTGACATGATTACTTTATTTCCAAAAAATACCAATAACTTGTACAATAAATAAATAAATCAATAAATTCAACAAGACGACATAAAGAGAAAAAAATTCATCATTTTTTATGATACAGCACTGTATGATACATCACCAATACTTCCCGCTAACAATTGTCGACCTTCACCATTAATATGTTCATTATATGCATTTTGAATAAATGTCCCAAAGGCACATGGAAATGGTTGAATTTGTTCGTAAAAAAATGCATTTATTTGAGCACCCAATATTAAAATGGCAGCAAAATAATAGAAAAATAATAATAGAATAACGGCAAAACCAATTTGTCCAGCATAATTTGTCATAAATTTGGTTGCATAGAGAGGAAATAAAATTAAATATATTTGTAATAGAATACCAGCTAGTAATGCACCACACCATGTTTGTTTTAATGTCATCGGTTTATTCGGTATAAAATGATAGATAAATTCAAAAAGTAAAAATGATAGACCTAAACTTGTTAGAAATCCAGCTATAAATGTTATTGTACGACCAAATGTACCAGGAATTGAACCGAGAAAAACTGATGGAGCTGAAGATGTTGCAATCATAAGTAAAATAAGTACAATAAATAAAAATAATGTTTTTATTGCTAATATATTTTGTCTTAAAAATGTTCGCTCTTGTGTTCGATATATGATTGTTAAACAATCATCAATTGCTACAAATAATCTTGAGCCAACAATAACAGCAAATATAATACCAATAGCCAAAATAATACCAGCATCTTTTGATAATTGATTAAAAGCCATATCTAATAGATGTGTTAAACCGTCACGTGTCTCATTTGGAAATGATGTTATTATTCTTGTTTTTATTTTATCTTGTAAACTATTATCATTACCTAATACTATCGCTAAAATACCAAATAATGCCACAGCAATCGGTACAAGTGATACTAATAAACTGTAGGCAATCATTGCCGAATAATCGAGAGACCAATCATAAACTAATTTTTCCAAAAATAAACGATATTTTGGTTTTGTTTCATAATTTTTACCATTAACAGAATCGGCTTCTAGAGCAGCCATAACGTATGTTTTGAAAAATAGAGTAATATCTATCACTAGTCTGTAAAGTATAAGACAATATCTGCGCTGTCATATATAAAAACGCGTGTATATGCCCAGTATATACAAACAGCATATATCACTGCCTTTTTTTCGTTCGTTCTTCCACTCCTAAACACAAGCTGGTACAATAATAAAACAGTTAATAATATACAGAGAAAAAGAAGAAAGTTCGTGATTCAGAAGGAAGCAAAAAAATATATTTAATACGTCATGATTTGTGTTTCTGCGATTCAATGTCTAATCCGCATACAATACATGGAAGACATCTTGCCATAAGATGTCGCCGCTAACTGAGCACCTTAAATTTTAAAAAAAAGGCTGAAAATTTTGTATTTCGCATTGTTCGCTTGTTCAAGAAGATCAAAGTCCAACGTGTCACTCGTTTTCTATGTCTCTGACAGATGTTCGACTACAGTTTTGATGAAAAATATGTCCAGAAAACATAGAAGTGAGTTTTTTATCTAAAACTATTAAATTCACTTGGAATGCATTATTTTCACAATGTTTAAATGCACACTGCTCTCCATCAAAGTTTTAATAAATCATCCATCTGTCAGACATGAACTTATGTATCATTATTAAAGTTAATTCGTTATACTTTGTAAATATAGCATCAACACCGTATTTGTTTTGTTTTTTTGACTTTTTGTTTTTTAATAATCCATTTAAAATCAAATTTATTTGTCTTGACATATACAGAAAATTTTTTCACACAAGTTTCTTTTGTCAATAGAGTAACAAAAGACTGCCACAAATTTTTTCTTCGTTTTTCTTTTCATTTAGTTATATATTTTATTTCATCATTTCATTAAAAAAGTTTGTCATATTTCAGTACTACAAAAAAAAAAGTAGAGAATTGTATATGCTGTAAAATGTACAACAACGACTATTAATTTTGTGACAATAATGACGACACAGTATATAACTACTCGTCCACCTCCGCTCGTTATACCCGAGTCTACTCTGACAACACGTTTAACACCACGTAAGAATTATATTCACATTCCAAGTACACATGATCAAGGAGTAGGACCAGGACCAATAGTTCACACCGATACAGGTGATTTTAGTGGTGGAGATTATCAAGTTGTTGAAAAAGATTATGGAGATCGAAAAGTGATTTATCATATTCCCATTGAATATGCTGATCAATATGATTTAGAAAATATTGATGAAACAACGTTTGAACAACCAATCTTTCATCCACCCCAAACAACTATTATACATCCACAGCCACAGCCACGAGTGATTCGGAAAGTTTATAAAAATTATGATGATGTAGATCAGGACTATTATTATGATGATTCGGATTATGCCTATGAACCTGTTCGATATGTTCAACGACCTAGTCCTCGACGACAAGTTGTCAAAAGAAGAATTTACGTCAATAACGATGATTATGATTATGATTATGATTATGATGATGACGATGATGAGATTGAGTATGTTGTCGAAGAAAAACCACGACCCGTCAAGGTAAAAAGGATATTTTTTTTATCGTTTAATATCAATAAACTATAATCATTTTAGTATGTTCAACGTCCAATTCGACGTGCCGTCTATGTGTTAGAAGACGATGAACCTCCACAACAGCCACAACCTTCACCTCGTCCACAACCAAAACCAATTCTTCGTCAGAATGCTAAACCTGTCAGTATTCGTCGACACACTATCAGAACACCCGTGGATAATCCAGTTCCACCACCTGCTCCAGTTAAAATTCAGTCAAATGATCATACATATGTACGAGCAATGGATATCATTTTGGCTAATCGAGCAAAACGTGGATGGAAATTACCAAAACCAAAACGTGAAGTAGAAGAAGAAAAATTTCATGATCCACCACAACCAAATAAAAATATTATTAAAAATGGATTTATTATTCATAAATAAAAACAAAATGTGTATTTTCTTGTAAATATTTTAATTTGGGGTGAGATAAAAACGATACTAAGCGTTCGAAAAATTCATTTTAGACTTCTACATTGGCATAGTCTCATTCTCTTCATTTAATAGCGTAAAGCTTGCTAAAATTATCAAAGCTATTATTTTAGTTAGCAGATTTTATGTACAGGTAGTAACTTTAACCTGTAATTTGATCATTACTACTAAGAAAAATGAAAAAGATACACTGAGTCAGATAAAAAAATTTTACTTTTTTTTTTTTTTGAGTGCTTTTTGCAACATTAAGACACGAACGGACTATTATCTGTCCAACTGAACAGTGGCCGCCTAAGCAGAAAAAAAAATCATGAAATAGGCGCTTGCAGCTACCTGAGTCAATTTTTAACCCATCAAAGCTCGCTTAAGTGAGTTAAAGCTAGCTGATGCGTTCGAATTAGGTGCTAATCGCTCAGTTAAGCGTCCACTGGATAGGCCGCTTGCAGTTAGCAAGTGGGCATTTGCTCGGCGCAGCCAGCTATTTGACCCAAAAAATGTACGATAAAGTAGGCGCTTGAGTTATTCGATAAGCTAGATTTCCTTGCTTACTCTTTTCTGCCAGGGCGCGGTCATTTTTTTAATAAACTTTTAAAGGAACAAGATGAAGGGACCTGTAGTTTCCAATGTCTTATAGACACTTTAAAACCCGATTTTCTTGATATTAAAAAAATTTTAAAAACGATGGAAACATAGGTTATCGATCATGCTGAATTATAGTCAGAACCTGACAGCATCTTTCTGTCTATAAATCAATTCTATCAATGCGTTCTATTACTGTGTATCTGATCGATGTTCCAAAGATCAGATTGCTGCTTCCTAACTTTTCACACAAGTCTAATGTTTGCAATGCGTCTGACATAGAGTGACATCTAGTCTACATATCTGGTAAAATCCGATAGCTGCATCTGCGATCATTCGGGCAGGAGCGAACTTTTCCTGAGACACTTTAGAACCCGATTTTCTTGATATTAAAAAAATTTTAAAAACGATGGAAACATAGGTTATCGATCATGCTGAATCTTGTAGAACTGTTTGTTATCGAAAAAACTTAAAAATTAGTGAAAACCTATACTAGACAGAATAACCTATTTTTCATTAGGATTATACGAAATAGACGTGAGTGAGTGACTAAAGTGGCTCCTTTATGTGACACAGGACAAGAAAGAGAAAAAAAGATGGCGTCGACGATAGAAAAGAAAAGAAAGTAGTATATCATTGGTTGACGTTCTTGTGGGTATTCTTGCAAGATTCTTGTTTCTTTGCACTTCAGACAAGTATCTTGTAAAATATTTTACATATATTTTTAAATTTAAAAATGAATGATCGCAGATGCAGCTATCGGGTTTTACCAGATATGTAGACTAGATGTCACTCTATATGTCATACGTATTGTAAACATTAGACTTGTATGAAAAGTTAGGAAGCGGCAATCTGATCTTTGGAACATCGATCAGATACACAGTAATAGAACTCATTGATAGAATTGATTTACGCTCAATCATGGTTTAGAAAAAGCACTTATGTCTGTCGTCCTACTTTTGATTCAAAAAAGCAAAATGGTTAAAGATTCATTTCCGTTCGTAAATGACCTAAAGCAACGAACAAGTTTAGCTGCAACGACGAAAATGGTGACTTTTGATACTGAAAGCTTGTACACTAACATTCCTCTGAACTGAAGAAACTATATGATTCTGAAGTAAAGCCAGCAATAATGAAACGTACAGATATGAAAAAATGGTTAGTCTTTGCCACGAAGTACTCGCACTTTCCCTTTAATGGAAAAATATACGACCAACACGATCGAGTCAGTAAGGAAGCTTCATTGGCTCCCACACTGGCTGGAATCTTTCTACAAGAGTTTGAAGAAGAACATTTAAGTAGCATTCATAATCTCGGCATAAAATGGTGGCGAAGATATGTGGACGATACCTTTTGTCTATTAGATCCAGACAGTATTCCAAAAGATTCAAAAAATCAACTTTCAGTAGTCTGATGACTAAATGGAATAGTTTCGTTCCAAGAAGATACAAACACAATGCATTTCTACAATGGTTTATCAAGGGATAAAAATTTGTTCTTCTTACACGGCTCTACATAAAGAACTTGAATTTACCAGATTACTATCCAAAAAGAATGATTATCCATTAAACGTTGTAGAGTCCATTATTCGAGAACAGTTAAACTTACTATTCACTTTAAAAACTAATGCTGACCAGTCTGAAAATATGATAGAAACCGTCGTTCTTCACATTCGTTACTGTGGAAAACCCAGCCAGATTTATGGAAAGTGTGTAGCAGCAGCTGTAAATAAAAGGACCCTATCGGATTTCAAAAGTATGTCGAATCAGAAAGCTATATATCAGGTTTTGTAGAGCTTCTCGCGACGGATCTAAATCTGTATTGGGTTTTGGTTAATACCTTCTGGTTACCGAGATATGGGTGTCACCATGTTCTTGGTCTTTAATCGGTATTGATGTAAGAGGAAGAGTCGAGATTCGGTAATGTAGTACAATGAGATGTTGTCTTACCCATATTCTTGTAAAGTAATGAAAACTGTACAAACTAGTTCGGTAATGGGCAATAGAGGCTAGTTCTTCTAGAAAAAAACGGGTCA